TTCACCAAAGAAACCCAACAAAAAGAAATCAATTTCCTAGATCTAACAATTTCCATCCAAAACAACAAACATTCTTTTAACATATTCAGAAAACCCACAACTACAGACATAACAATTCCAAAAAATTCTAATCATCCATGGACACACAAAATTGCAACTTTTCATTCACTAATACACAGATTAGTCAACGTTCCTTTAAATAAAGAAAATTACAAGAAAGAAGTCGACACTATAAAATATCTAGCTGAAAAAAATGAATATAGAAGCAAAATGATTGATAATATGATCAAGAAGAAAATTAAGAAAAGAAATTAATAAAAATCAAACTTAGAAAATAATTCGAAACAAAAAGAAGAAAAGAAATTCATGTGCGTCCCATACAACACAAATTTTAACAAAGCAATCAGGAAAACATTCAAACATACTCCAATCAAACTAAGTTATAGAACAAAAAATAAAATTTTTAAAACTATACACAATAAAACCAACAATCAATCCTACAACAAACAATACAGCAAACATATACAACGCATCTGGTATCTACAAAATTTAATGCTCTGACTGTAACAACTACTACATTGGACAAACCTATCGAAATTTTAAAGTTAGATTCAACGAACATATACAGGCATATAAATCGAAGAACAAAACCTCAATGAAAACATATTTTGCAGATCATTTACTAAAATCCAAACATAAGTTTACTAATATTGAAGAAAACTTAACAATTTTAGAAAATGAAAAAGACAGAGAAAAATTTAATGTAAAAGAAGAAATTAATATTTATATGAATTACAAGAATAACAAATTATTTTAAATACAATGATTCCAAAATTAAATAATCCAATATATGAAACAATAGCTAAATTGAGAAAATATAAATGAAAATAAGCACAGTACATCATATATAAATTAATCAATGAAGACAAAATTATGTTACAAGTTAGAAAAGTGTTATAATATCATATGTTATTTATTTATTTCCATATTTTATTTTGATTTTTGTTTACTTTGAAAATGGCCTTAGAGCCGAAACTATAGTCAGTAAATATTTTAATAAATAATTTTTACTTGGGTACTAAGTTTATTAATGTGTAATCTTTATTTATACAGGGTGTCCATAAAAAACGTTTCAGGACTTTGGGAAATGAATCCCCATACTAAAAGGAAGAAAAAAGTGTATGGGAAGGTATGTCCGAAAATGCATATTAACCCAGATATCCGCCATTTTGTTTTTAAACAAAAATATTTTTAACTGTGAAGTTTTTTATCCGATGATTATGAAATTTAGTAAACATGTTAACATAAACAATACCTATAATAGAAAAAATAACAAAGTTGATCCGATTGTAAATTTCAAAATGGCGGCCGTTTAATTTTTTCTAACTTAAATAACTCAAAAACGGCTAATTCTATGAAAAAAAGTCAAGAATACTTTTTTTGCATTTTTAATTTTCTATTAAACAATACCAAGATTAAGGATTCCCCGACTAACTTTGCCTTATTTTTACACAAAAAACCTTATATTTCAGTTATCTTTTGTCTGATCTTTTTGATCTTGGTATCGTATGATAGGAAATTAAAAATTCTAAAAAAAAGTATTCTTGACATTTTTTCGTAGAATTAGCCGTTTTTGAGTTATTTAAGTTATAAAAATTCAAACGGCCGCCATTTTGAAATTTACAATCGGAACAACTTTAAAATTTTTTCTATTATAGGTCTTGTGTATGTTAACATGTTTACCAAATTTCATAATCATCGGATAAAAAACTTCACAGATAAAAATATGTTTGTATAAAAAACAAAATGGCGGATATCTGGGTTAATATGCATTTTCGGACATACCTTCCCATAAACATTTTTCTTCCTTTTAGTATAGGGATTCATTTCCCAAAGTCCTGAAACGTTTTTTATGGACACCCTGTATATAATAGCCCTATTATTCTATTTTTCATATATATATGTATATATATATATATATATATATATATATATATATGAATTTGAACGGATGATGTTTTTGGCCTCTAGGGACCTAAAAACGAAAAGGTAAATGGGTCCCGGGTCCTGTGTCATGAGAACTACAGTAATAGTTTATTCCCTGTATGGGCCAAATTTTGTAGCCAATTGCTTTGTGGCAATCCAAAAATCTGTTTTTTTTGTTTTTTTTAAGAACGAGTTTCAGTAGGCGGTGGCGGGTGGCACGGTGGCAGCCCACCTTGTATGTTTACCACAGTGTGTATACAAACATTGACGACGAGACGCAGCCACCACGGTGTGTGGGGTGTAGAGGCAGGCTTACATTGTAGCATGCAACCCTCCCAGATCATCACTGTAGGGCTGTTATAATTCAAGAAATATATAATTACGAGCAGCTATACCAGTGTTTCGCAACTGGGAAATTACACGAAAGAGAAGTAATAATGCTGTTCTTTAGATCATCTGTATGAAATAGTTACACATCTATAGTTTATTTTATAAAAATACTTAGTTTTACGACTTTATGTAGAACAATTTTTTAAAACTCATTTATTAAAGTGAAGTAAAGTGTTAAAATTGCTGAAGCAACCTCTACAGTGTATAAGTGGCGCTAACATGGGTTTAAAAATAATGTAGTCTATGATTATTTTGAAATTAAATTAAATATAAAAAGATAAATGTTTTAAATGTAGACTTACATTTAAAGCCCTACTGCAGTCAAAATATCCAAAGGAATCTAACAACATAACTTCGTGTAGCAATAAAATCAATCACGGATCTTGTTATTGATGTTGATTGAGGCTTTAAACGAGGACCAAAAATTTGTTTGTATCGCTTTAATAATATAATAATTTACAATTCTCTTTTTAACATAGCAATTTCATTTTTGTTCTTAAAGGCTGTTAAGGGCAATCGTTTACGAATCCACGTCTGATTTTCAACCACAGACATTTTACCTTATCCGGAAGCTGTCCCGACTCGTATTTTTAGGAAAGTAATTTATGAGTAGATTTTAAAATAATGAAAGTTTCCTTGTGTACGCGTTATAACCATTCACAATCAATGACTAATTCTGTCGTGTCAATGAAATACTATGTTTAGAATGTGTAAACAGACCGAAATGAATAATACCACAAATTATATAATTGTGACATTTGTTTGGTCTTGTACAGGTTAGGTTAGGTTAGATTGCCTTATTGAAATCATAAGCAAACGGTCCACAACCAATGGTTATCTATGCACTAGGGTATAGGCTGCATTTCTAATTTCTGCAAAAGATTCCCCACTTGTGTAGACATTCCCATTCAGAGAGCAGCGTTATCAATCATGTTACTATAGTATTTACAGTATTGCATTTAGAAAGTCATTTCCTAAATATCTGTATAATGTATACAAGTATTTAACCAATCTCTGAGACCTCCAAAACTTTGACACTTGCGTCATTTTCAAAGCAGACAAAATTCAAAAGACAAGATAAAATCTGTAAAAATCCGAAGTTACTATCTTACTGCATTTACATCTACTGCATCAACAAACATCTTCTACAATTTCATTACGAAACATGTTCAATCGTTATCCGTTGCAAAGCACGGGTACAGCAGCTAATTGGTTTATACAAATGTGTTTATAAATTTTTTTGTTAAAACATATTTATTTCTTAATTCACATTAAATTTATCTATTTCTCATTATGTTTAAGGAACGTTTTAAACTATCATCAAGTTTGGTTTGGTTCTTTGAATTTAAGGAACTGATTACACATTTCTCAGTAATTCAACAATTGTTCAGATTATTTAGTGTAATTTCATAATGTTTCCAGATTTGAACTATTAAATAATTGTCACAATTTATTTAATGTTCTCCAAATTGATTGGTTTTGTTTATTGTACCATGTAACGTATGGAAGCCCATGTGGCGTAACTAAGGAAATACAAAAATAAAATTATTTAATATTGTACTGTCACCATTTGTGAGCTATGTTTCAGGTTTCAAGTCTCTAGTTCATCGGGAAGTTAGTTTAAAATCGATTGAAAAATATACTGAACAGACAAGTAAGCGATCTAATAAAAACGTTTAAAAAATACTGTTGAATGTTAAGGTATTAAAACATACAAAAAAAGCACTGGATCAATGCGAGTACCATTGGACGTAATCGTGTCATTTATTTATTACATACACGGCAAACGCCATTTTACAAGAGAGTTGAGTTGAGATTAATAAAAATTTGTTGTGACTTAAAGTGAAATAAAATAAAATCTTTAAGTGAGATTTTTAAAATTTTCGATTTACAGTTGGCCTAACTCAAATCTATTTGAATGCTTTCCTCAAATATCTGTTTGGGAATTTATTACAGTTTAGGTTACCTATATTCATTTAACCTAACACTGGAAATTCTAAAAAAAGTTTGCCTCCGTTACAATCTCTCTTGGCCATGGATTGTACACATTTTCGTAAACAAAAAACGGAAAATTGAACATTCTTGTGTAATAAATTTGTAATAAATAAAATGTTTACCACGCAATCCCAATTTTCGTCATTAAAACTCATTTAAATAAATTTAAAATGCGTTTATTGAATCAATACAACTTAATTTTATTGAATTACAAAAACTTTCATTGAAGTTCTTATAAACGACTATTACTGTTATCTATCTTCAACAATAAGTGTTTGCTAAAGGTTTCTTTCGTAACCTTAATATATCTCTCGACCTTTATGTACACTAACGTATTTCATACACTCGCTATAAAGCTCTGAGTACACAAACACACGAGCTGGCCGCTTTCCTATTCCATTCACTCGTAAATATCTCAAAATTACATTATGAGTTATGACACCCTTTAATTGTTATTAGGCGCAATATCGAAGGCTGCTACAATGCTTGGCCACGCCCATTTCAATTATTGCTGGCTAGATGGTTTCTGATTGGTCGGATTTAGCCACGCCTCCTCCTTGTAAGATTCTGGGCTATCAGTTTGCTATCGCGTTTCGGACCGACGAGTTGCCACTTCAAGATTTCTCGCTTAGTGCGTCTAGAATTGTGTTTATTTGAGTATTTATACAAAAAGTATGGACATGTTTTTAGTTTTATCTAGAATATCGTGTTAAATATTCAATTCATTTTTTGAAATTTAATTGATGCAATCTTCCAATATTGTAAGAGAATGCTGTACATTTCCTAAGCTTCATCCAAGTGTTTTTTGGACCTAAAATTTTTACAAGAACCAACAACCAGAGTTCCAATCCCCGAAGACAACATTGGACTCAAGGAATTAGTAACACACTATCCTATGATGTGCTAAGGTATATTGTTTACATTAGTGGTTGACAACACGATTGAGTGTTTCACGTGATATCGACAATGAACAACCAAGAAGGGGTGGATTGTGAGGTGGGAGGACATTTTGTTAATAAACTAACCGACAGTCCGGGCCCTCAACCCTCTAGTTCGCGATCCCTCAAGTTCGGCATGGACAGGATCCTCTCAGAAGACATCGCCCCTCCTAGGAGACCATCTCAGTCTACCAACAATCACTCAGGTACTTGTAAACTCTGTTAGTTTTCACAAAAGTTATACGGTATAAATATTTAATATCGTACAGTAGGTATATATTCGAACGTCCAAACAACCATTGCATAAAAGTAGTAAATAAAAGTAGTATAAAAGTAAATAAGTTGCATAAAGTATTATGTGGATGTTGCAACACTAAAGACAAAATATTGGCAAAGAATAATCATATCGGATACTAATATGCTTCAAAATATGTGACAAGTATAAATAGTATACATTAAAAAATAAACAGGACAAGAATGACAAAATTCTATCTATGTAAAAAATGCGAAATTACAAGTATATTACTAACAGGGATATTATCAACAAGAAACAAAGGGTCTACAACCAAAGTAGGCCTAGTATGCGACAATAATGCAAGTACCTGCAAAGGCAACAGTTGACTCAATTTTCAGATAATGCCCAAGTAGCCGCAAGGATGTTTTTCTTCTGATAGTCAGGTAACAGATTTGGAAGAAGTCATAGTTGCATCATAGAAATCTTAGTTGAATCAATTTTCATATATTACACAATATGTTGGTGAGCAAAGGTATAACACTGCAGGACTAATAATCATTTCACATTACGGCTTTTCAGGACAGCGGCAGATTTTATGTATCTATTTTGAGTTGAATGTGAAATGCGAACAAAAGTGAAGTATGGAATGGAATAAGACTAGTGGCATTTAGGAACATAGTCACTAAAAAATCCAAAAGTAAAATAAATTTGTAATAGTCAAACAAACTAAGAATTAAGAATAAAATTATCTTTCACGCAGCAGCTCTGAAAATTGTAAGTTGATAATTTTTATATCACTTTAGTGAAAGCAGAAACTAACTAAATTATTTATTGATTAGTAAACAAACTTCACGCACTTTATCAACAGAAATTAAAAGTTTAAAATGATTATAAAAAGTATGAATTAATGAAAATGATAATAATAATATCTATGGTTCTTACCGTCAACGCAATCAGGAGTAATATTCCACTACGGCCGTTTCAATGCACGTGCAACGCACGCAAATGTGCAATGAACGTTTTCTTCATTGCAACGCAATGCAAATGAAGAAAACTCGTGTTAAATGTGACAAGACTATAGTTTTAGTGTACCACTACGCACCTGACGATGGAGTCATCTCCGAAACGGCCGTAGTGGAATATTACTCCTGATTGCGTTGACGGTAAGAACCATAGATATTATTATTATATTTCCACGCAATCTGCCACACTCAAGAATATAGAATGAAAATGATTAAATTTGAAATCACGCGTTTAATGTAAACAAAGCAGACGTTTTTCAATCCCAACGCATTTCAAATTGAGGATATTTTTCGCTATTTCTCATTTTTATGGTAGATTTGGACATAATCTTCAATTTTTCCCGACCCCTGAGACCCCCATCATCTTACGACTCATGCGAGCTGTCAAACTCACAATTTTAATAAAAAAAATCGCCTACAGAATTAATAAAAGAGATAGATGATTTGTATAGTTTGTTACTGACTAAGATCAGCTGTTTGCAAGGACCGATTGTTGAAAGCGATTATCAAACATAGGCCCAGTTTTGAAGTATCAGAAATTCTGCTATTTGCAGAATTAAACAGGTAATCTGAGAAGTCTGGCGCGAGAACCATACGCTCCCGACTACCAACCATAGTAACTGTCAACGATATCGTATGCACGAACAGCTATGTTTTACAAATAGCTCCATATTTGTTAAATAACTAGGTTTCAATCTCAATAGCAATCTTAATTGATTAAAATATTTGAATTTCAATACGCAATTTAAGAAACAAATTATGTAAACACCAATTCTTCGTAGACTCAGGATGATGAAAATAAAGTAATGTCATGAACAAGTTATGTTGGTCCTCTTGACTAACATTGATGAGTAATCTCGTAGTAATGTACATATCAAGCAAAATCCATGCAAACACACACGCCACAAAGATAAGAAGACTTGGCTAGTTTTAGAAATATAAAATTCCTTGAAAATAACAAGAACGCATTGTAAAGAAATATAAAGGTAAAATGATCCAATACAAAATTGTGCATGATCAATCATAATCTACACGTTCTGTAACGTTAATTACGTACTTAGCGTCATATAATATTACAACTTAGTTTTGCAAAGTGTCCTATGTGACTGGTCCCATAGGTTTTACACACAATTAATTGCAGATATTTTTGCGAAAAAAGATAAAAGAGTTAAAACATTTAAACCCCGTAGAAAATCTGGTTCATGAGTTGGTTTTCACAAGCACCTATTCCTAATTTGATTGTTTTAAATATGTTTAATTAGTAACAGATTTGTCAATGAGTTTCCTCCGTAAAAAATGTTATAATTTATCTTAAAGGATCTTCAATGTTTGGTAAAAAAGAAGGATCGATGCCGAAAGAAATTCAATTATTGATAGTCCTTCAAGTTCCAAATCAAAATCTGGAAGAATTTGATTATTAATGGCAGCTATCATAATTAGGGGGTGAGTAAGAAATTATTAAAAGAATTTGCAAATTGACTCGTAAATATATATTTTTATAGGCGTATTAGGTAACAATTTAAAGCTCTTATCCTCTAGATGTGCCTTTAGTGGGTTTGCATGTTATCCCGTAAAAGCCCTTCGTCCTATAGGTTTTTTTTTTAAATTTCATAGTTTGTGCTGAATTTTGTTGTCAATCATCTGAGCTTTTTCAAGTTTACATTTGTTTACATCAAAACGGATGGCCATGATACAATGTTTTTACATTACATACGAAAATGGGGCTATCTGTGGTTAGTGATGTTTCAATAATTTCAAATAAAAATGTTGTAATGTTATTTGTATAAAATGTAGAAAGAAAATGACTTACGTTAGAATTTTGTTTCCATAGTATGTGTCATTAGTATTTGTAATTTTTCTAAAATACCTAGAAGAGAAATAAAACGTGGTACAATTCAAATAAAAAAACATCTCAAACCTGTAGTACGAATGCTTATTAATACTACTAACTTTTACCAACTAAGCTTATTTGACTCATTTTGGTGGGGGATATTTTAAGAATTTAAAAGCTGCGGTTTTAGCATATTAGTTGTTGTAGTACAAAGAGTAAGAATCTCTGCTACTATTTGAAATATGGTTGGAACGAATCCAAATAGAATGTTTAGTTTTCAAATAGACCACCAATGCATCGATAATTATTGTGTGGACAATTTTAACAACGCTACTGATAAATTGTATTGATTTTTAAAAATCGTAAATCGAATGACTGCCAAGGGTTTCGTATGAAGAATTCATGCTTGAGATTGTTTGTTTATAAATAAATACCTATATTTGTACAGCTTGAAAAATTTATTTCAATCAATGTTTGCTTTTAAAACTAAATTAATACCTTTTTGATTTGATTCAGAATCAGAATCAGAATGTTTTATTGCCATAATAATACATAAATGTACAGGGCAAAAGTCACTAAAACTAAACAAGTAAAATAAGACCCATTAAAATAAGATACAAACTTCAAAAGGTACAAACTATTTACAATTTAAAAACGAAGAAACTCTGTAAAATTCCTTATCAACTAAATATTACCTCAGACCACGCTTAATTTTTTTTTAATCATGTTCGCCCTTGATTGTGTTAGGAAGAGAATTAAAAAGACGGATACACATGGAGAATGATTGGTTTTTGTGGAAAGTGGTACGAGATAGTGGAATATGTAGGTTAAAGTTCCTCCTGAGATTGTAGCTGTGGTGAGATGACCCTCTAATATGAAACATTGTCGAATTTTTTTTAAGAAGGTCAAAGATTCAAAAATGAAAATTGATGGGAAGGTCAGCATATTATTTGTACGAAAGACAGATCTACAAGACTCTCTATATTTTAGGTTGAAGATTAATCTGATGGCTCTTTTTTGCAGTTTGAATATTTTCCTAGTTTGAAGTTTGTCGTTACCCCAAACGGGCACACAATATGTAAGAAAGGGGTAAACAAGACCGTAATAAGCTGTCAGCAGGATGCGTCTGTCTTGATAACAGGAGAGCCTACGAAGAAGGAAAGCACTAGTACTAAGTCTATTGTGAATTTTGTCGATGTGACTGGAAAATTTCAGATTGCTGTCAATGACTACTCCTAAATATGTTACACTAGAAGAAGAAACAATGTTGATGTTGTCGACAGGTAAATTTAAAGATTCAGATGGGCTAGACGAATTCTGCCGTATACGAAATTCTAAAAGTGATGTTTTATGAGGATTTACATGTAGAGAGTTCTCGTATAGCCATTGGAAAACAAAACTACTCTCAATAAATGTTTGGATTTCTAGCTGTGCATGATTTTGACTGGAGACAACGAGGGAAGTATCATCAGCAAACAGATGTAGCTTTGAATTTGACACAACAGGAGGCAGATCATTGATGAACATTAAGAAAAGGACGGGCCCAAGAACGGACCCCTGAGGCACACCTGTACTTACAGTACGCTCATCAGATATCCTACTACACAAACAGCCTGAGGAATCAATGTAAGGGACTTCTACAACTTGCCTCCGTCCTTTAACATAAGAAGACATCCAATCCATAGCTACTCCACGGATACCCAATCTTTCCAGCTAATTTAGAAGTAGGTTGTGGTCAACGACATCAAAAGCTTTGGTAAGGTCAAGGAACAAACCGGAGACATGATTCTTTGCGTCGAGAGAGTTGGAAACCTCTGTAACCAGGCTGAACACAGCATTTAGGGTGGAGTAACCTGAACGGAACCCGAACTGATTTTTGTTGATAATCTTATTTTTATCTAAGAATTGATAATAAGAAGATCTTCTCTGTTACTTTAGAAAATGTTGATAATATAGAGATTGGCCTGAAGTTATTGCAATCGTGCCGGCTTCCTTTTTTCTTATATTTGGCTTGACTATTGAAAGCTTTAGTACTGCAGGAAATGTTCCACTCTGGAATGAACAATTAATTAGGCAAGTTCTTCAGCACATTTCTTTAAAGTTTTTGATGAGATTTCA